ACTGGTTTCAGTTCTGTTCTACATGTAGCTGAGCTGCTGCTGGCCCCGCCCCCTTCAGGAAGTAGACCCTCCCCGCCTGTGATTAACAGATGAATAAGTGTGTGAGAACAGGACTTCTATCTTCTAACTTTCTCTCTGAGGATCATTTCACATGAAAATATCAGCACAGATTGCTAGCTGGTCGTGGCAGGAAACATCTCTCAACCCACGAGATGACCGTGCACTCATCCGTTCCTGTGTCAGCAATCATCCTCAGACCTCCAAGGACCTTAAAATGAGTGGGCACTGTCGGGAAATGTGACTTATGTTATCATTACATTTGTCCAAATAAATGTACCTGTAGTGGTACCAGGCATGAAACTGAACAAGTAATTGAAGAAAACAAGGGTGGTCTAATATTTTTTTCCATGACTGTATATACAATGAGTTATATTTAGAAAGTCTTACCCAGACGATGCAACAAATCAAAGTCTTTGTTACGGGCATGTTTCCCTGCTGGAAAAATGAAGACATAAGTGAAAAAACATCTGAGTTGAGTGAGTAAACTTTTTATATTCTGAGGATGCCAACATCTTGAAGGTTGATGTCAGAACTGCAGTGATTTGGTGAATATCAAGAAAACCATGGAACATGGACATCAGCTCTGAAATTAAACTCTTACGAGCTATTTTTGTTGTTACCATCATATTTGTCTGAACAAATATACTTTCAGTTGTACCAGGCATGAAACTGAACAAGTAATTGAAGAAAACAAGGGTGGTCTAATATTTTTTTCCATGACTGTATATAAAATGAGTTATATTTAGAAAGTCTTACTCAGAAGTGGCGAATCAGAGTCTTTGTCACTGGCACGTCTCTCTGCAGGAGAAATGAAGACATAAGTGGAAAAACATCAGAGTTTAGTGAGTAAACTTCTATATTCTGAGGATGCCAACATCTTGAAGGTTCCATATTGTTCCACTTCTTCAGCAAATTAATGAAAGTCCACAATGTGTCTCCCAGTGTTTCAGCTCCAAACACCACAAACATGGCTGATTTCTCCATGACTGGTTTCAGTTCTGTTCTACATGTAGCTGAGCTGCTGCTGGCCCCGCCCCCTTCAGGAAGTAGACCCTCCCCGTCTGTGAGTAACAGATGAATGAGTGTGTGTGAGAACAGGACTTCTATCTTCTAACTTTCTCTCTGAGGATCATTTCACATGGAACTATCAGCACAGCCAAGCCATGGTTTTTATCTCCAGTGTTTGATGGGACACATGTTAGAATCACATATTTTGTATTCATGTTTTGATAATCTCTTATTATTATCTTAATCTCTTATTATTATCTTAAGGCATAATCAACATAACATAAACAATTGCAGCATGAGAAAACATAGGTAGAAACAGGATTTGGTGGTTTGTGTATATTTCTCTGTCACAAGCAGGTATCTGCAGGAGGGAGAAACTGATGGTGCTCAATAGTTGGATGCTGAGTGGCAAGTTTCTGCATCCATGAGATGGTGGAAGAAGGCCCAAGGACACAGAGGAGCCAATCAGCTCGCTGCAACACATTCTGTGCACATTCTCATGTAATCGTATAAGTACACTGGATCAGGGAGAGGTAGTCAGTCAGACTTTGTGCCCTGACATTAACTTTGTTGGTGCTCAGGTGAGAAGTTTGATCCAGAGCTCTGTATGCTTATTCAACTCTCTGATAAATAAATACATTGAGTGTGACCTTAAATATCTTCTCCTACTGCTTCATTAAACGAATGCGCAGGAGCTATCTCACACACAGTTTAATTTCTGGCAGATTGAGATTCAGCTCCAACACACGTTATAAAATGAGCAGCCTAACGAACCGGATGGAGGCTGCAGGTATAAACTTACTGTTGGATGCACATTTCAGCCGTCTTTGTCTTTCCTTCTACTATCTGTGTGTTACAGTTTTCTTCACTACGAGAAACAACAACAACCTGCACACTGAAAATATCGACTTTGTTGAGGATCTGGCTCATGCATTAAAGCAGCACTGCGAGT